ATGGGGGAGGGCTGGGAGGTGGGAGGGGGGTGTAAGAGATCAACCGAAGGACTTGTATACATGCATATAAGCATAACCAATGGACATAAGACACTGGGGGGTAGGGGAGGCCAGGGGATTGTCAAGGGTAGGAAAAAAAGGAGACATATGTAATACTCTTGGTAATACTTTAAGTAATAATAATAATAATAAAAGATCACCCCTCAATGGGTGCATTGCAGGTCAATTACAAAGTCTGATAAACAAAAATCTTAATCCGACTATTAAAAAAATTCCAAACTGTAACCACCGCCCCCCCCCCCCGCAACTTAACAAATTTTCTTACCACCTGACCTCCCCAATATAAATGTAAGCACCTCAAGCGGAGAGAATTTTGTTCACTATGCTATATCCTAAGCACCTGGAACAGTACCCAGCAAATAGCTGGAACTAAATTCTTGTTGAATGAATTACTAAATGGCTGACAGAATAAAGAAATAGAGGACATAAGCCACACTGAAGGTCAGGTGGGGGACTCTGGGAGGGAAACTTGCATTTGTAGTTCTATCTCTTTAATATCCCAAAAGATTGAAAACAAATACAGAAAAATGCGCAATTTGAAGTATTAGGTGGTATGTATTAGATGCTTTGTGTATGTATTTTTCTGTATTTTAACAACTTTTCAAAATAAAAAATAATAAACAATCATTTCAAAGCATGTAACATAGTTGTCCAACAGGAAAACAAAGATTAACTTACTCCCAGTTAGTGAGTAGGGAGTTAGTTGCTGAGGGGGCCCTAAAATCCAATTCTGTAAGTCTTTCTCTTGCCCCCAAGAGGGACACTACGTGTACTGTGAGATTACCTATTCCTCACATTCACAGATTGGCAGGGTACGTACTTACCTATATAATGCTGCATAATATCGATTCGATATTGTCTGCTGAGAATTCATTACTTGGAAAAGCAACATTAAAGCTTGCACACTGGTATTAAAATTCACAACGTGTAACACTTTAAACAGCGTGTCAACCTGCTCCCTCACTTTGTCATCACCAGTTTGGGCATAAGGGTAGGCCCTGTTTACTCCTGTTAAAAGGGCACTAAGCATTTTTGATTCAATATCTTTTTTCTTGATACAAGACCGAAAAAAACAAAAATAAAGAGTTATTAATTTGTTAGCCAGTTCACTTTCTTCATGGGAGAGGACCATTTGATTTAAAAAGCAAATTGCATAATATTGTGCTTTGGAGCTGATATTTGAGCGAAAGAGCAGCCTTTCAACTTCACCACACACAACGCCTTTCATATTGGGGTGTTTACAAAGCAATGTCTCTAACAGATGGGAGGCTTTTGTGGCTATTCTGTTCTGAGGATCTCCCAGTTTGTTTACCACCTGCACAAGAAGAGCTTTTTCTTCCTCAGGTTTGTTACAAAGAAGCTCATGAGCCACCGAAAGGGCTCGAGTTTTGGTGGCTACTAAGGAATCATGACTTAAAGTTTCTAAGACCTGCACAAATTCAGCCACCAAGTGTTTCAGCTGGTGTTCAAAATACCATAAGATCAGCCTTCGGTCTCTTGAGTCCCTGTTGCCACTGGACAACTGTTCCAGTTTGTTGAAAGGATGCTGGCTGAAAATCCGCAGTTTCCGACTGTCAGGCAAGAGGTCTGTAATGAGTAATTCTTTGAAAGTATCCAAAGCCATGAGGCACTGCTGTTTGCTGCCCTTCTTTTTCACAAGGTTTACCAGAGTTTCTACAAACTGGAGTGCGTGAACAGCATCATCCTGAATAAGAAGAATCATAGCTGCCATCCTGTCTCCTAGGGTCCCTGATGACACAATTGCCTTCATCCAGGTAGAGGCGCCCTTTTGATTATTTGTTTTATTTTTGAATAAATTAATTTCATGCTCATACAACTTCTGAGCCAAAGTTTTGTACTTAGACACAACATCCCGAGGCTGGGGTTCCAAAGAATATTCATTGCTGTACTCCAGATCATACCATTTGCCTCCAGGCTTCAGTAACAATGCCGGTCTCTCAACAAATTCAAAGATGTCCTGTTGTTTATCTTTCTTTATTTTTGGTACAGGACTATTGTTCTCATCAGAATGTTGTTCTGTTCTCTTCTTATTTTTCACCTTACTGACTGATGTCCTTTCATTTTCTGCTGCATTTTGCTTTTTATTATCTAATTTAGATACGCTTGCTTTTTTGTTGGCATCTTCTTTGTTGGGCGGTTCATCTTCTGCAATTATGGAAGATTTTGCATACTTGGCCAAGTTCAGATTTTGAATAAATGCTTCCAATTCACCTTGCTGAAGGTCATCAATTGCTCCTTTTTTGCCTCCATCCACAACTTCCTCATTTTCATCCAAAGCAGCCAGCATAAGGTAATCTTGCTGCATAAAAACATAAAGTTAAAAATAAATTATAAATCCAACAGTTTAGTTAAAACTTCAAAAGTTAATGTGAACCTGTGTCTTTGAAATCAAAGTGTGATGGTATTGCCTGGGCTCTCAACCTACACCAAAGTAAATACTTGACAGATCAAAGACTTAAATGTAAAAAATAGAAACAAAAAATAATAGAAAAAAAACACAACATAATTAAAAAAATTTCCAGAGTAGGGAAAACCTTTTGAAATTTGACATTAGGGCCCATAAAGAAACGAATGGGTAAATTTATCATTCTCTCATACACAAAAGACAAATAATAAACTGGATAAAACACTGGCAACTCATATCACAGCAACTGGGCTTAATGATTAATATAAAAGTTGCTGCACATCAGTTATGGAAGTAACAAATAACCCAATAGAAATACATACAAAGGATATAAACAAACATTAAATGGGGGATGAGAAGAGTGGTTTTTTTAAAATATAAAAAGATGCTCAACCTCACTAATATTTAGAGAAATTCAAAATTAAAACCACAATAATGCTCATTTTTTAATCTGTCAGAGCAAAGATAAAAACATGACAGGTGCTGTTAGGGAAAGGGGCGGGTCACTTTCCTACATGGCTGATGAGAGTGTAAACGGGCACAACCTCTAAGAGGGGCAATTTGCCACCTTCAATCAAAATCCATAGAAGCACACATCCTTTGACCCAGCAGTTCTGTTTCCACAAATTTTGATGACACGTACACTTACAAATATGGAAATAGGTATTCATGGTTACATACTGAAGCATTAAAATAGCAAAATATTGACAATGTAAGTACCCACAAAAACTGGTAGAGAATTAAAACAGACACAATAATTTATTCAGGCATTAAAGCAATGACACAGAACTTTACATTCTGATATGGAAGGATCTCATAGATAGTAAGAAAAAACGGATACAAAGTATTACATATAGCTATAACACAGTGCCTTTTATGTAAAAAATAACGTACATGCATATCTATTTCCTTGGAAGGTACAAAAAAGAATTACAAAAAATATTGCTTCCTGGAAGGTAAATTGCATAACTGGAGCTACAAGTGGGAAAAAAGACTTCACCATGAATCCCTTCCTTAAAAAACAGAACTAACCTTTCTGTAGCACGTGCATCTATTACACACTTAAAAACCAAATACAACTCGAGCACAGAGCAAAGCACAGAGCAAACGTGAATCTGCTCCTGTGAGGTGCCTTTCTCCTCCTCTATTCCACCCCCTCACCCCAATTCTAGTCTCGAAACAACATTTAACAACAACAACAAAAAGCCAAGCTGTCCAATGGTTAAACTAACCCTTTTATAGCACGTGCATCTATTACACACTTAAAAACCAAATACAACTCGAGCACAGAGCAAAGCACAGAGCAAACGTGAATCTGCTCCTGTGAGGTGCCTTTCTCCTCCTCTATTCCACCCCCTCACCCCAATTCTAGTCTCGAAACAACATTTAACAACAACAACAAAAAGCCAAGCTGTCCAATGGTTTCGTCCAGCTCCGGGTAAAAGCCCACCTCTTCCCTCTCTGACCTCTTTTCTTACTCCTCTCCCCATTTCTTACTTCGCTCTGCCTCAGCCACACTGACATTTTCGTTATTCATGAAGCGTGGCTCAGTCCTTTCCTCCTTTCAGGTGTTTGCTCGTACATCGCAGCGATGGGTTCGCCGACGCCCTCTCTCACTGTGCATGTCCCCCTTCCCTGTCTCTTGTGCTCCGTAGCACTTTTCTCCACACTGTGTATTCAAAAGCTTGGGCACTGTCCCTTTCCCAGAGTCAGGGTATGAATTCCCAGAAGGCGCAGGGCTCCTGAGTGCGCAGTGAGCCTGTGCCCGGACTCGGCGAGGACCCGAAACTCCACCACCTCGGGAGCTCACAACACGGAGGCCGCGAGGTCAGGACCGGAAAGTCAACCTCCCGACCCGATGCAGCGCCGTTATATTTCGTCAGTAAAGTGAGAGGGTCGCCTACATTCTGAGGCGACAGCATAAAAACGCCCAATTCGAGTTTATTTTGTAAAGAGCAGCGGAAAAGAAGTGGTGCCGGAAGCGCCCAGAGCACTTTCCGAAGCTGGGAACCGGGTCCGGGACGCCCTCCCGCCCCGCGGCTCTGGGGCCACGCGCGGGACCACTCCCCGCGCCCAGATCCCCTCCTCCGGGGGTTCCAGGCCATTACCTTGGTGCCTCCAAGCCGTAACACCTCCTCCATGGAGAACCCATTCTCGGCTTCATTATCCTCCTCGTCGTCCTCGTCCGAATCTTCTATCCTCCCGTCAGGAACCCAGGGCCGCTGGGCATGGAACTCCAAAGGTTTCTTAGCGGCCGCCATGGTGAGCAAAGCACGCGCAACCCGTGAGCAGGTTCCTTCCGGTTGTCCCGGTGACGTACTTCCGGCAGGGCCGAATTCTCTCCCGGAAATGACCGTGATCCCTAGCCCGGGGCGGCTCGCGGCTGGTGGGCAGGTTCGGCATGCTACTCCTCGCCAACGCCGGTGCCAGGCCGTTGCGCGCTGCGGCGCGAGCGCGAGCCCCGGTCGGTTGCCTTTCCGTGTGGGGTGCTCTGCTCAGTTGCGGACGCCGGGGGCGCTCCGGGCGGGACGGGAGTCCAGCCTCCGACGGGGGGTCGCGGGCACAGTGTGTGCCTGCGCCTGGTGTGCGTGTAGCGGACAGGAGTCCTCTTTTCTCAGCTTCGGGCGAGGTTACGTGTTAACCAAGCCACTTTGAAAGCGCTCAGGCTGCCGTGCACGTGTAAATACTGAGATTTTTTTTAATGGGTCCTGCTTAATGATGTGTTTTTCGCAGTCAGTCCCTGCCTTTGGGGAGGAAAACACTTCAGCTCCGGGAAAGAGCCGGTAGAAAACAGCCCGGCGACTCCGATGCTGCAGCATCTTGTGTACAAAATCAAGTCGACGGGCCCCATCACTGTGGCCGAGTACATGAAGGAGGTCTTGACCAACCCAGTTAAGGTATGCGGGTCGGGGAGCCGGAGGACCGGGCCCGCGCTGGCAGATTTGCGAGGCATGAGCCGGGAGCGGTGCGCGCAGACCGGAGCCCGAGCGTCCTCAGCCCCGACCGCCGGGGTCCCTTCCCGGGGAAGAGCCGCCCCACGGGACCCGAGGACCATACAGGAATGCTAGTCGGTCAGGGCTGGATCGAGTCAGCGGCAGCGCCATTGCACAGGTGACAGACCTGGAGGTGCCCGGGAGACGGTGTAAGCGATTGGATGGATGAGATGAGGGATGGATGACTCCTCTGTCTGCGCTGATGGTAGATGGTGGAGTCATTTCTCTGGGGAAAGGGAATGGTAAGAGGGAAAGGTAAGAGTTCAGTCCTTCAGTCCGATGTGTGAAGTTTACAGGTGACTGGAATTAGAGCATATTCCGGATTTTTTTTCTTTTTTACTAAATACTAGAGGCCCGGTGCACAAAAATTTGTACATTGGGGTGCGGGGGGAGCTCCCTCAGCCCGGCCTGTGCCCTCTCACAGTCTGGGACCCCTTGGGAGATAAGGACCTGCTGGCTTAGGCCTGCTCGCAGGTGGCAGAGGGCAGGCCTAATCCCTAGGTGCAGCCCCTGGTCGGGCTCAGAGC